CTATTTCCTTAGTAAATAGGTACATTTGAATTACTCAGAAACTACTCATTTGAATTTCGACTTCGAATAATCGAAATATAAAAAAAAAATCGTCATGTTATTTAACATTTTAAGAGAAAATAGGTGGTCCTCATTTAAAAAAAATATGTTAACTTACCAATTAGTATCGTCGCATGGCATAAATAACATAAAAATGTATTAAGTATTTCAAAATATGGTCTTTAAGAAGTATATTGTTAAGAATTCCAAAAATCAGCACTTGAATAAATTCATTATTAGAGGAAAAATGGGGATGTGCATGTTCAGTGAATCATCCTGTATATGAATTGCAGTGGCTGGCGTATCTATTCTAAACGACGGCGACAGATTCCGTCCTCGTATTATCGACAATTTGATTTACGACATTTGATGGGCCGCCGCCTCATTTATATAACGCTCGTGTATATAATAATATAGGCACAGCTCGTGCTTATTATTATTGATTATTATATGTGTACAACGTTCAAAAATAAAAGATGGGTGTAGAGGTTTATATATTGTAGAAAATATTTAGAATATAATTATTATCGTTTGGCTCGGTGTAAATAGTACTAAATACAGTGATAATATTATTATAATATTGATAATATTATGGGGACAGCTATATAATATTAGGGATATACCTATACGTGTAAATGTGTAATATGATTTCAGTATAATATTATAATATTATATTATGTGTAGTTGTGCATTCCGTGTGCATATTATTACGTGCATGTGAATGTATAATTAATATTCAATGAATTATCTATATTATTTTCAGTTAAAAACGATCGTCAAAATTGTTATTGGATGCGAATATGTAGTTTTATCTAATTTATTACTATTGTAGATAGATCGATATTTAAATTACAGAAAACTATACTGTTTAGTATTGTATGACTGAATTAACACGCGTAGGTACTTTATATATACATCTGTAAAAATGGATTAAAAATGTGAATATTTTCTCTTTAGTGTTATTACACAAATTCAAACAATTTCAACCTTGTATAAAATAATATTGTTAAAGAAAAGTCATACATAAATATCACCTATGATATACAATGCATCATGTAAAATCATTGACAATTTTAACATTTTATGTCTTTGTTTATGTGTATATATACTAATGTAAACGTAAGCATAATACACAATTTGAGGGGAAAAACTTTAACTACCTACGTAATAAAACTGATCCAAACCAATATTTGCAACTTAGCTGCACTTCGTGTAAATGGTTCGCTTATGATTTTTAAACGCAATCGCGTCATAGTATTTACCATAGATTAAATATTCATTGGTCGCATGCAGGAAGAAAGAAGGATGGCTGTTCGTTTAAATGTTAAAAAAAACTTTAATATAACTTCTAACGGGGCATTTTAGTGTGGTGAATAAAATTAATTTCTTTATTTCCTATGGGAAAATAATAGAAACACTTGAATTACATTACAATATTGTGCAATATAAATGTTATGTATACACATCGACCCACGTCCTTCCACAGTTTGTGAACAGCCAACTACTATTTCTATATTGCACATTTAATATACTCGTTGAGAATTTATTCATGTACGTACCTACATTGTACATCAGTGATTCCCAAAATCAGGGTGATGCCGTATCACAATTTTCAAGACAAACCTTACAGGTTTTATGTTTCTAATGAAACATTTGTATATATATGTTCACTATTTATTTTATAATATAACACAAACGTTTTTCAACTGGTTTACTTACCAAAAACTATAAATTATTTTGAAAATTTAAATTGTTTAAAAAACAATAATATAGTTCAATACAATATTGTACCATTATTTATTGCGAAATATCTTTAATGAAACAAAACAGTACATGAGACAGGTGATTCTTAACGAATACCATTGCAATAGGTATTGATGCGCAACGACAAACACCGCGGCCAAGTATAGTTCTATGCACAGAAACATGTTGACCTCAGCAGTTCAACTAAAAGTGATGAAAATTCGTTCAAAACAAAATAATATTCTTATTGACATTTCATAACACATGGTATACATTGTCTTTAATGATAGTAATAACGTGTTATTTTATAGTAGGTATATATATTATATTGATGGTGCATGAAACTTACTGATACGCGAATATAGCCACGTATATATAACCTCGTAGCGTAGGTATCGACCAAAAACAAACGCATAAAAAGTATTATAAAATCTTTGGGTACTTACGGGTATGTTACCTACTCCACTCAGATTTTAATTAATACTTATTAATAACTACATTATAGTTTATATAGTAGGTACTATATAAACTCGTAAGCATTGGTGTATACTTACCTATATATAAAAAATATAAATTAACGAATATAAGGGTGCCTGTATTTTATTGGGGACTGGAGTGGACCGTGTTTTTGAAAAGTAAAAGGTTGGTAACAATTGCAGATGTAGGGTGCGTAAAGCCGTAGGTATAGGGTACTGCAGTACATAAAACAAACAGCACATGTGATGAGGTCTTTCCCTGAGTATAAACATTTTGTTTCCAGAAACCAGAAGTATTTAATGTAGGTACACATAATTATTATGAATGAATTCAGTACACAGTAGTTCGAATTCGTAGCTACTCGTTTACACAATTAATTCTAAGCTTATTGATTTTATTATTTTTTCAATATTTAATATCTTTAAAAAAAATAATAACTTCTTTTTTTTTATGCTGATAATATAACACTGTATAATGTCTGAGGATTTTTATAATATTCCATTCAAAAGATGTCGTTTCAAAAGCTTTTAGGTGTTTTTTCTTTCCTTCTGTATTTTCTTTTGTATTTGAAGTTAAACGTGTCAAGTGGTTACAAAAGTACGCGCGGGAAATTGTACTTATGTAGCTGTTCAGTTATCTATCTTAAAATAGTAATTAAATAAATTCATAAATTTGTTATTGTAGTTATTACGCATTTATTGGTTGTAATTTGAATTCAATTGAATTTAGAAAGTCATCGTTGTGTACGTGTACAGTTAATAGAGAATACCCAGAAGCTGATATGTATATGAGGTGTATAATTGATGTGGTATACACTGCAGTAGAATGTAGTTGTATTTTTTTTAGAACTGGTTTGAAGTTCGGATTTATATCAAACCTTTACATTTTCGTTTGACACTTTTTTGCTACAAAAATAGTCCGGTCACAAAAGCCTTAAAGACATCAGCTTTAATTGATGAATTTTATAAATCTTCTTAGTTTAGGCGATTTTGAATTCATTTAAAGCCTGCTTTTAACTTTTAAACTAATCACGATTTCGTCAACAAGTTTATCTTAAAATCATCTTGCGAATGCCTATAATATATATTTATACTAGATTAATTTACATCATCGATCTTTTGAAATAATATTCTATTATATTAGCTATACTTATACAGTATTCAGTCATACTAAGTTCTTTACAAGATAATCTATCGTACATAAATATAGCCTATAATACAGTATACATACCTAAGTCAAACATTTTATTATTGTGTACCTAGAAGAAGGTTCAAACTTATTATTTAAATTTCGTATATTCATTATTAATAATTACATTAATTATTTTGAAAATATTTTAAATTATTATTAACTATTATTAATTAGCATGAAATACGAATTATGTAACATACTAGGCTTGTAAATAATGAGTCCCTAACGTTTTTTGATTTTTTTGTCCTTATAAGAAATACTTTTATCATGGTGTTAATCAAATAAAATAATATTATGTAGGTATATTGAAATGGATATAGTATTATGTAAATACATTTTTCGTTTTTTAAGGAAGATTTTAAGAAATAATTAAATGTTTGGTTGCATAACATACGTTAATTAATTTTGTATTCCTTATAATTAATAATAGTTATATCATAAATGGCCAATGAAGTCATGAATGAAAATAAATATTACATCATACGTATAATGAAATTATAACGCTATAAAGGTAAATTAATTTGGTTAATGTGGCCGATACATTATGCTTTTACTCTAAAATGGAGTCAATAATTTATTTGCACGGCAACTTACGAATAAACTACAAATTATTGAACGCTCGTGCAACTGTACTACTTATATTGCGTATATTAACTAAATTGTCCTGATAGACCTTTATTGCATGTTTGTGTATACAACCTGCAATCGTTCTTATAGTCGTTTGTATTTTATATTAAAATATCGCCAGGCCATAGGTATCTGATATTTGTAGTATTTAATTATGTATGAACAATTATTATTACGCTGCAGGCGCCGCCCATATTGCTGCTCGGGTTGTCATCAATTTAATATGTACTTATAGAACCAAAACTGTATATTGCTAATATAATATAATGATATTATATATTGTTCAGATACTTCTGACGTGTGTATTTGTATGGATCAATTTGCTGCGTAGAACATTATAAAACCGTACATTGACATACAGGTATGATAGTATACATATAGGTTGGTCTATCTAAAGAGGTACGCTAAACGTAGCAAAAAACACAAAACCGATATTGGCGTTCGGTTTGCAAGTCTATAACATTGTTTAATTTTTTTGTCGTAACGCAATATTACTCGTAATATAAATATGGACGTCGCCCGAAGAAACATGCGGGACCGTCGCTCAGCGTATTTTCGTCGTCGATCCAGAATCGAGTGTGCGAACCTAATTCGACTCGGTCGGGGTGTCGTGTGGAGATGACGAGAGAGAGAAAAATTGAAAAAAAATAATTTAAACGATTTCTGGTGGGGTAACTACATCAGTCTGTCGACGATGACTTACAAATTTTATAGATTATATATTATTATTATTATTATTATATAGACGCACGTGCTGGTCGCACTATATAAAAATTATCGCATTATTTTTATGTGTACCTATATTGTATATATTATATGAAAAAAAACCTAAATGTTGTTTCGCAGACCGGAGCACCATCGTCGGCAGTTCAAACGGCAACGGCATAACAGCAGCGGCCACCGCCACGGCCACCGGGTTTGAGATGTATTCGTTTTTCGCCAGCACGGCAACCGCCGCCTCAGGCACCGGAACCATTTCGGTGGCGCCCTCGTGCGGCGGCGCCCCGCTGCCGCCGCATTCTGTCGGCGCGCAGGCGCACTTTACCGGCATCCAGTCGGCCGCTGCCGTCACGCACCAGCAGCAGCACCAACAACAACAACATCACCTCCACCACCACCACCTCCTCCCACTACACCATCTCAATCAGCAGCAACAGCAACAGCAGCAGCAGCAGCAGCAACAACAACACCAGCAGCAGCAGTCGGTCTCCACGGCCATCAATTGTTCCGTGGTGCGTGCTATCGCCGCTGCTTCGTCGACGCAGCCGTCGATCGTAGCCGTTTCGTCCGCACAACAATCATCGACCGTTGTCGCCGGGACGTCCGCCTCTGGCAAAAGTAATTTTATTTCGATTTTGTTCAGTTTTTTTCCTAGCTCTCCGCCACGCCTCACATTTTTATTCAATTTTTTTGGAATAACGGATTTTGTAGTTTAAAAAAAAAAAAATCCAAAAATACTTGCGACTCAAGTAAGCCGAAATTGGGTTTTTGGTTTTTTTTTTAAAAATAATTTTTCTATAATAAGATATCTTTGCACTCTGGTGCCTACGGTTTAAAAGTATAAAATATAGGCTTCTAACGTGTGCGCAATGCGTACATGAATAATACGGACGGACAAAATGGCTGACACAGACTTTTGTGCCGTCGCCGCCCCACCGGCGTGTGTCACGTTTGCCCCTCGTGGTGTGCGCCCTTCTTCGGGCTCGCTCCTCTTAAACGGACCGTTAACATAATAATAATAATTCTTCGTCGTAGTCGTCGTCTCGTTTTACAACCATTATCGTTGTTATACGTTATAACTTAACGTCCCTTTCTATGCGTTTATTTAATTATTTTTTTTAAACACGGTTGGTATTCAAAACGTCTCCTCGTCCTCGAGAACGGACTACAACATTATAGGTATCTTATATTAAGTATATTAAAGCTCGTTTTACGACAAGAGAAAAATATTCTAAATCCACGGTTTAAATACGGCCTACGTCGTCGTATGATATGGGGGAGGGGGGTATATATTATCCAAAAATCACCTGGCAGGGCGTGCTTGACACCACAAGAGATACGAATTAACGAGTACTTTACTATATATATATATATTATGTATGGTGACCAGACGTAATTTTTTTGTTGCATTGTCCTAATGCCCTTAACAGTATACAAAGTAAATGGAATTTTATCTTTTTTTTTTTTTTGGTAACATAAGGTACTCAATAGTAGGTACCTATTATTTTTCATAATATAATTATTCGTTTACATTTTGTGATTTGACCTAATATAGTATTTACTATTTAGTGTACCACATAATGTTTTTCTACGATAGTATGAATGAACTGTTATACGTTATAAAATATGTATACCTATACAGTTTAGGTGCATATAACATATATTTATAATCATTATACGAACCTTAGCGCATTATATAAACAAACCAATAATTGGTTGCATCCTATCGAATATTAACGTATAATTAGGTAGCAGATAGTACTAGTAGAAATATTTACTACTAGATTTAAATATTTATATTTTTCAATAATCACATATTTGAATATTATTTGATATTTTGAGTGTATTAAGTTTCAAAGTGGTTATCGGATAGATACACGCCTATAATAAGTTGAACTTGCAATGCGGGATTATATTATAATATAAAATATTTAGTTTTTCTAGTGGATATAAATCAAAACAATATAAAGGGTTCGTAAGTAAAAAAAATACTTGTACGATGGCGATGACCTATATGAAACATGGGATACTCAAGCAAAATATAGTTTACACGTCGGTCAAACCTCTTAAATGAGGATTTTATTTAGATAGAGGGGCCAAATTATAGAAGTTATTTTTTCTTAGATTTTTATATCTGGTCACCAATTACTTAAAATATATACGTATATATTATATAATATTATTATGTTGTCGGGTTGTACCGAAATCCGTCGTCGTGGCGGTCTTTCAGTGGAGTTCACTCGATGGAAAAGCGTATAGCATTACAGTACCCTAAGGCGTACCGCCACGGCGGTTTAATATAACGCCACCGCCAGATTCTGTTCTATTTTAGGGTCGGTCCCCAACGTCGCAATGTACGAAGGCAATGCTCGGCGAGAAAAATCAATAGGCGTCCTTGAATTTGAAAAGTGCACGAATATATAGGTACTAGACGAAAATCAAGGTTATATGCCATTTGATCCGTATGATATTTTTTTTGTTTAATATGTAAATAAGTACTCGTTTCGGCCATAATTTATTGTATATAGACATATTACATATTATATTTATCTAATACCTATACAATTGATACGCGTATAGTTAACAGTTTTGTAGGGATACGTATAATAATAATTATTATTATTATTAGTCATACGTTCGAAAATTTCCGATTACTTTTCATTCGCTCGCGGTTTCAAAAGGGTAATTGGTGTGCGCCTGGTAGTATAAAACCCGCCGCTCTGCTACATATACTCGCATGTCGAGATAAATATAATATGAATATATATTATGTATATGAATTTTCCATTAGTTTCGTTTGAATATGATACTATTATGTATAGTTCCTCCAAAACTTTCAGTTTATATACTTCTGTATTTCCAATGCCCAGCATTACTATGTATTATCATCATTTTGTGGTACTGTGGTAGTATTGAACAAATTAAAAGCCGATTATTATTTTTATTTAAAATTACGACGCGCGATGGATCAACAACATAATATTATTTTGATTATAAATTATAAATATGAAGAGTATTTTAAAAAATATTTATTTATTTTAGAATAATAAAACGGGAAGTACAACTTTTGGATCAATAACAAAATACGTTGTAAAAATAATTTTCACAATCATGATTTTCATTGAATTTTTATAATCGTTGGCGGTCTCTTTTTAGTTGATACATGCAAATATTATTATAATAGTCATCATAATATTATCACTTTGTAATATAAACATTTTGGTGCAATTATTATAAACGTTTAGTTGAAAATAAAAATGATTACTTTTCTAGATGTATGTTATTATACCGTTGATTAGAATATTATATAATTATGTTTTTGGGATCATTTTGCCATCAGACCATTTCATTAAAATATATTAATGACTATACAAGCGTGCGTATATTACCGTACCTACCTATATATATAACTCAACTCTTAATCCCCTTTGTGACTTAAAGCATCCTATACGCGTTTCAGAATGAAAATACCGTGTAATATGTACGTGAACTATCGTCTGTATAGGATTTCACACTTAGTTTTATTATGATTGTTGACCTTTGATTCGAATTTTTTTTTTTATTTCTATGGGACCATGTAGGGTTAACAACGTGCACAAAACCATAGAAACGTCCAGTGCGACTCTAGCGTACGAGCAGGGTTGGTAGCTACCAGACTCCCACTATCAAATGTTTGGGTACTCAAATGTTAAATGTCATATGACGTGTCTTTTCGATAAGTAAAGTAAAGGATTATTAGTCGATCGAAATAATGAAAATATTTCATTAGTTTTATTTATAATGTTACGCATCGTTAAAATAATCTCGTTTTTCAAACTTATCTGCAGTTATTACTTTTTTTTGTAATACCAACTTAAATTACTAAAGTATAGTTAATAATACACTATAAAATATTGTGAAATATATCATAGTATAGGTATTCAACATAAAGTTCGTATTATTTTGTTTAAATAATAGCCCCTGGAAACGAAATACGAGTAACGCCGGGTTCACAGTTCGCCATCGTCTGTTGTGTCGTGTACTCGTGTGTACCTTTTAAGACGGATTTCCACTATACACGTACATGTGTACGTGCATACAAATCCTTTGCTGCGATTGGTTGGTTAGGTTAAGTTACCACGCGATTAACCATGATACCGTGTTGTTGGACATAGCTGAACATTTTTCGTGTACACGGCAAACGTGTATTGTGGAAACCCGCCTTTATCGTATTTTATATTGTCCGTTGTAATCATGGACCATGGTATCATATTATTATTCACTAACCATGATCTTCCGGAAAATATCTAGATTTGAGCACCACATGACAGACGACGCAGCTGCAGTGTACACTGTTTTAATGCGTATAATATGTAACCAGCTTAGAGGTTTTTTTATTTCTGAGTCTTTTCTCGCAAACAATATTAATTAAATTCATTGTGTCGGTTGGGCACGTTGAACAAACCGCCGTGTATATTATTGTCTATATAATTGTTCGTCAATCGAATACATAATCATTATTATTGTAATGTTTGTACACACGAATTTTTGTGTCGTTTCATTTTTAATGATACTAATATTCCTCAACGACGGTGATAATATATTTTAAATACACTGCAAGCGCGCGTACTGTTTTTCGACTAGTTTATCACCAAGTCCGCACATACCTTTAGATATACCGTATACATACCTACATAATAATATTATAATTTATAATATCATAGGACATAATATCACATAGGCACCTACCTCGCGACCGCATAGTTTACGCGATTATCAGCTGAACCATTCGATCGTATAATATAATATAATATAATATTATTATTATTATACAACATGCGCACTCGATTTTATGTTTACCTTAGGACTCGCGAAATCTTTTTTCCGGTATGGCCACGGTGACTGTTCGCGGCAGATAATAAAATGTGTGATATAATAATAATAATAATAATAATAATACTGTGGCTCGCGTTAATATCATTACATTACGACTGCGCACTACGTATATTTAGTTTCTTGGAACATTATACTGTTGTTGATATTTTCATTTTTTTTTTATCACAGTTGAACAATTTTTACGATAACAAATATCCAATATTTTGCTGAACAATGATTATTTTCGTGTTTTACCGGGTGCTTAAACAATAATAAACGAAATCGGATCTCCGTGTACAAACTATACGCTCTGCAAGTGTGCTATTATTATTATTACTATTTATTACTACTCATTTTACTCAGATAAATGCACACACACCGTACGCCTATAGTGTGAGTAGCCGCGGGTTTAAGCCTTAAACTTTTAACTTGGAAACCTATACCTATATTGGTTTATCCGACGTAGTCGCTTATGTGGCTCTTAACTGCTTTCAACTATTTTTTTTTTATCAACACAACATATAAAATAAACCATACCTAGGATTGGCTACCATTATGATTCGTCTCATTCTAATCTATAGTATACTTCATTCATTGTGATTCTGCTCGAGAATATAAATTAAAAAATATTCGAAGCGTTTTATTTTCCGAGATTATAATTCTCTGTAAAAGAATAAATTTATAATTATTAATTATAATACATTTTTTTAATTGTTAAATTGTAGAAATAATACATGTACTTAGATTATGGTTCAGTAACGTCA